TTCAATCATTTATTAAAATATATCAATGAAAAGTTTCATTTTATACTAGCAACTAACTCAGCACTGTGGGGTGAATAAATAGGAGTGTGTTTTTCTCCTTCAGGGGTGTTTGGTGAGTTGGATCTTCATGGAATTCCACATTCAATATATAAAACTAAACTATCAGAAACTGCAGAGGCAGGTTCCAAAGTCCTATCTCTGATGGATGCTGTGGATTGGCAGGTAGAGAAAATATTATTTGGTGGAAAAGGAATACACACAGTGGGTCAGATGAAAAAGATTTCTTTCCTACTCTCATAGACATTTACTTCTTCATGGGATTAACCAGATGAGAGATGTGTATTTTACAATCAGCTTGCAAAGACTGACCTGATAGCAGGCATTTAAAAATTGCGGTCTCAAAGGCCCTTCAGAATATATAAAGAACATTATATATATACATATATACATATATATATGTCAAAAAAGAAAAATATGAAAGTTTCTGGTTAAAAATATTTATTATAATTTCTTGCAAAACATAAAATGGAATTATTTTAAATACATTTCATTGTTACTTTATTTACCTCTTCACTTCTAATTTGTGGTTTTACATGTTAAGGATTTGGAAAGAAAACAAATCCTGATGCCCAGTGATATCCAAATAATGCCTGTGTTAAATGAGAGATTTTGGTAAGATATAAATGGTGGCAATTCCCATCTCTACCACATTCATAAATTATATGCAGACCATAGAGTCCACATGTTTTACAAATACTCTTTTCAATGCCAAAGGATCTGAGAAATGAATGGATTCTGTTTCCAAGCTCTCAGATCTCACCCAGTTCGCTTCTGGTGAGAATGAGCTTTAGAATAAGAACAAAGAGAGCCTTAGTCTGAGCAAATTAATGCAAATCATCCAAACATATGGGTTCGCTTTCTTAGTGCAGTTTAAAATTGGTAAATAGAAGGACGGTTTATGGGAAAGTATTATGATCTACTTACAATATATTCTTATTTGTGATAGTTTGGGTGTGATTACTTTTTAAAGAGAGTAATTAAGTGATTTCAATATTCCTATTATTTATGCAATTAATATTTTCTGCAAATTATTTATCCAAGTAATATTTAAACAAGCATCACATATTTTCTAAAGCATTGAGGATTCAGTAGTGAAGAAGTTTGTCCAAGCTATCATGGAACTTGCACTGGAGTGGGAGAAGCAGACGTTAAATGGACAAATAAATTTACATTAATTTTAGATTATAATGCACATGAC